TATTGGTTTGGATAGGCGGTTAGACGGGGGAAGGGGGTCCGGGCCCGCCCTCTCTCCGGACCCCAGCCCAGGGCCCTAAGGTCGGGGAAAATGCTCCCCCACCTAGCAGGGGGGGTCGAGACCCCTAAACTCCCCTGCCCTCAGGGTCCGCGTCCCCGCCCTGGGCTGCTTCTTCCCCCTTAGGTCCCACAGGCTCACCTGGGCCCTTCCTCTGGGCCTGCCCAGGGCCTCCAGTAATGCTGGCCCCTCGCCGGTTCGCGGGGGGGATGCGGCTCCTCCGCGTTTCCCCCTTTGGCTGGTCCCCTCCGGCTTTTTGAGCTGCCCGCCGGTCGCAGGCAGATTACGTCACCCCCCTCGTCAGTCTCCGGCCCCTCCCAGGGCCGTCCTCCCTGTGATGTTTCTATCACGTCCGCTTGGCCCCGCCCCCTCCCTGCACTATCTGCCGGCCCCGGCTCGTCACCCGGCCGGTGTGCCGGCCCCCCCGTTCGGGAAGGACGGGCCGGGATCCGCTCCCCTACGGGGGGTGAGTCCTTCCCCCGTGGTCGCGGCGCCCCGGCGGTTTCCGGGAGGGGCGGGGCTACCCCGCCCCACCCCCTCATTCATCTCTTCTGTAGACTAAATAAGACTAAATTCCTCAGCCTTTCCTCGTAAGTCTAGTGCTTCAGCCCCCTAATCATAGTACCTATACTATTTTTACTAAAATCAGACCACATTTGTCACAGCAACAAACTTTACTAAGCACTGGTTAATATCAAGCTGATAAACAAGCTTCTACCCTGGCTCTAGAAAAAAGCGTCATTGTATCTATCAGGCAATATATGGACAACTTTTTACCAAAGCAACATCTTTAACCTGAAAAACCAAATAGGCCACCATGCCTGAAGGATGTGAATGTAAAAAAAAAATGAATGACTATAATATACACATTGATTCAGATTTTATAGATTATTTTAACATCCTTTAACACTGGAGTGTTTTTTAAGAATACTCCATTTAATTAAATAATTTCAGGATGTGAATAGGATAACCTATTACTGATGTTTTGCTGAAACTGATAAAGAAATGAATCACAATAAATAAGCACGGTGACTGGCAATACAGCCTCTAATACAGACTTATAAAATTCTACCTATCCTGGGTAAGTAATGCTGACAGGTCATTGGTGCTGGTATTCATTGTTACTAGCTAAGGTGATAGTTTGCCTGAGCTAGAAGGCTTTCATAACTATTTTGCCAGATTTCTCTAAAGAAAATTGATCAAATATCTCTGTAGATGCAAGCTGAGATCTAACATAGGTTAGGACTATAACAGGGTTTAAAAGTGAACTAGATAAATTCATGGAATTTAAGTCCATTAATGGCTATTAGCCAAGATGGGTAGGGAATGGTGTCCCTAGCATCTGTTTGTCAGAGGGTGGAGATGGATGGCACGAGAAAGATCACTTGATCATTACCTGTTTGGTTCACTGTCTCTGGGGCATCTGGTATTGGACACTGTTGGCAGACAGGATACTGGGCTGGATGGATTTTTGGTTTGACCCAGTATGGCCATTCTTATGTTCTTATACTGATTGCATTCTTTTGACAGCAACCGACAATGTATCTCATTGATATCTCCTGAAAACAAACAGCTGGTGAACAAATTAAATAAAATAGGAACCAAATATCTTCCAGTTTATAGGTACAGTATTCTTCAGATTGTAAATTAAAATGAAGATTTCAAGAACTTCGTTAGTGCATTATCTTCAGTCCTGCCTCCTCTCTGCCCCCAATGAGCAGCCAACAACACATTTTAGAATCATGAATTCTGGTTGATAGATACCTGATGTTGGCTTGAAATGACAACATAGTGTTCACCTCTGAACTGTCATTCATGCTAAAATTTGACACTCTACGCGGGGGTCTCAACAAAGATTCTAGCTATCTTACCCATTACAAAGATAGTTTCCCCAATTATCACCTCTAATACCATTAGCTCACAGACCTTCCCCTCCCCATCCCCATTCTGTTCTGAAATTTGATTTGTCCTTTTCATATGTGTTCATTTTTTAAAATTGTATCCTTTGGTATATATGGTTGTGACTATTTTCTTCCACTATTTGATCTGAGGAAGTGGGTCTGGCCCACGAAAGCTCATCATCTAATAAACCATCTTGTTAGTCTTTAAAGTGCTACATAGTCCTGTATTTTGTTTCAGTTACACCAGACTAACACGGCTACATTTCTATCACTTCAAAATAATAGGTTGTATTCATTTTGGTTACCTTCTTATGCGTAAGGCTCGAGGTCAGGTAGTCTCAACTTTTTCCTTTTAAGCCTACTCCACAACATACAATAAACACTCCGGGGCCCAGCAGGGATAGTATGATTTTTATTTTGGGGGGAGGAGCAAAGCAGGGTCCAGCAGGGCTCAAGCCAGCTCTACATGGCAGTGTCTGGAGAGGGAGTCTGAAAAGAACTCAGGCCTGGTCTACTCCAGGAGGTTAGGTCACACTTTGCTGTATTAGGTCCATTTTCTAAAAAATGAGCCCAAAACACCAAGCCAACGTTATGGGCCATTAAACTAGATTTTGATACTCCTGCTTTTCACAGGAGTAACAATAAATTTGACCATGCATGGCTGACTTTAGGGTAGTGCTGTGAATGTCGACCTTCTTAGCCTCTGGGAGGTGGCACTTTCAACTCTGCTGTTTTCCAGATGCACAGGAAAAGCCCCAGGAAAATCAGAATTTCATTTCCAGTTTGGTCAGCATGGCAAGCACAGCTCAGCAGCATGCCTGGCCATGAATGCCCAGGGTTGCAAACAAGCTCCATTATGGAGCATTCAGGAGATCCTAGACGTGATTGTTATGTGGGAACAAGGATCTATCCAGGCAGAACTGCAAAGCAGCAAAAGAAATGCTGATATCTATGCCAAGATTGCACGTGGCATAGTGGGAAAAGGATATGCCAACGGACACTCAGCAGTGCTGTGTGAAAATAAAGGAGCTCAGGCAGGTGTACCAGAAGACAAAGAAGGCAAAGGGATGGTCTGGGTCATCACTGCAATTTACCACTTCTATGAGCAGCTGTATGGGATTCTAGGACCAATGTGCTAGTCCAGTCCGTAGATTCCTCCCATGCGACTCTTCAAGGAACAGATCAGAATTTCATTTCCAGTTTGGTCAGCATGGCAAGCACAGCTCAGCAGCATGCCTGGCCATGAATGCCCAGGGTTGCAAACAAGCTCCATTATGGAGCATTCAGGAGATCCTAGACGTGATTGTTATGTGGGAACAAGGATCTATCCAGGCAGAACTGCAAAGCAGCAAAAGAAATGCTGATATCTATGCCAAGATTGCACGTGGCATAGTGGGAAAAGGATATGCCAACGGACACTCAGCAGTGCTGTGTGAAAATAAAGGAGCTCAGGCAGGTGTACCAGAAGACAAAGAAGGCAAAGGGATGGTCTGGGTCATCACTGCAATTTACCACTTCTATGAGCAGCTGTATGGGATTCTAGGACCAATGTGCTAGTCCAGTCCGTAGATTCCTCCCATGCGACTCTTCAAGGAACAGCCTCATGCAACAGCAGGGAGGACACTGAGGATGAGGTAGAGGAGGAGGAGAAGAATGATCAACAGGTGAGCAGATCATCTAATCTTACTCACGGTCAGGATATTTTTTTTAATAACTTCAGAGACAAACCCCTCCTTCCAGGACATATAGCTGCTGGACCCTGCTGGCAGAGAGGGCACTTAGAATAATAGAATCCTAGGGCTGGAAGAGACTTCAGGAGATCATTGAGTCCAACCTCCTGCCCAAAGCAGGACCAACCCCAACTAAATCATCCCAGACAGGGCTTTGTCAAGGTGGTACTTAAAAACCTCTAGGGATGGAGATTCTACCACCTTCCTAGGTAACCCATTCCAGTACTTTCCCACCTGCCTAGGGAAACAGTTTTTCCTAATATCCAACCACCCTGCACTGCAACTTGAGACCATTGCGCCTCATTCTGCCATTTGTTACTACTGAGAACCTCTCTTCATAAGTCATGTGCTCCAGTCCCCTAATCATTTTTGTTGCCCTCCACTGGACTATCTTCAATGCCTCTGTCACAAACACACCTAGGCTATGTCTAGACTGCAGGGTTCTTTCAGAAGAAGCTTTTCCGGAAGAGATCTTCTGAAAAAACTTCTTCCAAAAGAGCTTCCACACTGCAAAATTGCATCAAAAAATTGATCTGAATCTCGCATTCAAGCTGTGATTACTATGGGCCGACTGGCCACCAGGGCACCTGCGCTTTTTCCTCTTTCCTCTACTTTTGAAAGAATGCCCTCTTCCCCGTCCATACATGCCTGTTTCCAAAAGAGCTCTTTCGGAAAAAGGCTTCTTCCTTGATTTACTTTCAAAAGAACGTGATTGCAGTGTGGACCATACTCAGATTTTGTTGGAAAAATGGCCATTTTTCCCACAAAACTCTGTAGCGTAGACATACCCCTAGGCTACATCTACACTGCAGCATTTTTGTGCAAAAATTCATGGAGCATCCACACTACAAGCACGTTTTTGTGCAAGAAAATGTACAGTACATAGTAAGAAGAGAGGGCTTTTTGTGCAAGAGTTATTCCTTTTTCTACGAGGACTAAACCTTTTTGCGCAAGTGCTCTTGTGCAAAAAGGTGTGTGTGGACGGCAAACGGGTTTCTTGTGCAAAAACAGCCTATCAGGAAAAACACAGGTGCTCTGATGGCCATTCTGTTAATGGCAATCAGAACTTTCTTGCACAAGAGTGTCCATGCAGTGTGGACG